GTTTCCAAGGATATAAATCTTTAATGCAATGTTGTAAAGAGTATCTTTCCCAGGTGAGAGAAACCTTTTTATGAACAAAAATTGAATTCTCCAAGCCTGCTTACCATATAGCTCTAGGAAAATATGCATATTGGAAGAGACATCAACTAAAGGATTCACTGGAACCTCATTAGAAGGGGTCTGGAGGTTATGTTTGTGTGTCAGCTTGGCTGGGCCTGGCTGAGTGGCTGGGCAGCTGGTAGCAGTTATTCCCTATAATAAGATGGCAATTAACTCCATGGTAGAATCTACCACAAGCACCTGAGTAGCAACTTTGGGTATGTGGTCTGCTTCCCGTATACGTTTATTTAAGCCATCCCATTTGTGGTATATTTCTTGTCAGAGTGGCATGTGGTAACCAGAACAATTGTTAAAAGAACAAATAACAAAAATATCCATCAAATGTAATAAATAAAAAATACGCTTTGCCTCATTCCATGTAACTAGTGTCTCAGAACATCTTTTAGATTAGTGTTCCATAAAAACACTGCAAAATTCTTTTACATCATCAACAAGATATTGAAGGGCTGGGAAAACATCGTGAAAAGATTTTTCAAATATACAGAATAAACTACTGACACACATACACAAAAGAATGAAACTCAAAAACATAGTACAGAATGGAAGCAGCAGCTGCAAAAGGACAAAAGAATACATATGACTGCATGATTCCATGTATTGTTCAAGGACAGGTAAAATTTATCAAAGACCAAAACGCTGATTACCTCTGGGCTGTGGGGTCAGCGATTGACTAGGAAGGAGCATGATGGAACTTTCTGAGTCGGTAATGTTGATAGAGGCTTAGGCTATATAAGCAGAATAGTAACTTAAAAATAAGTGCATTTCAGTATGCAGAAATTTTACCTCAAAGACAAAAAACTGAAACAGAACTTGAATTAATGATGTGCATAAAGATGTTAAGGGAGATAGCACACACTAAAGGATGGAAACCAGATAGAGAATAAAGGAAGTCTTGATAAACAAGTGTTCTGAATGCTGGCAGTGACAGGTGGGAAGGGGGGACATGAGATGCTCACTGCATAAATCTCTCAGGTATTCTGTGTAGTTTGATATTTTCACAATAAAATAAAAATAAAATGGGATAACTTTTTGCTTGAAGCTATAACTTAAAGGATACATTAATGCTTACAGAAGTCATTCTTCATAGTCTTTAACATCCCCTCCTTTTTTTCCAATGTAATTTCAAATCAATGCTATTCCAATTCATTCCACAAAGAGAAAAGATACTACTTTCTAAAGTATTTTTCTACCTTGATGACTTGCAAATAGTGGGCAGCAGTGGTTCTCGATCAGAGCTTTTAAAAATATAAAGACTTGGGAATATACCCCTAAGATTCAGATTGAACAGGTGTGGGGTGCGGACAACAATCCATTTTGTTTTAAAGGCTCAATGTTGTCTCTAATACACAAAATAAAGAACAATTGAATGAGAGTTTCGTTGAATTTTTATAACTACATGGTAAAGCAATATGCAATGGAGAAATGAGTTCTCTGTATGGGGCCTTTTGCATTAGTTCTTTGGAAAAACAGCTGGAAGGCTTTTTCCCTAAATCCGGAGAAGTCATCTATGCCCTAGTTTTCTAAGCAGGAGGATGTGTTATTGTGTTCAGAATGACTGGCAATTTTGAGATAAGCTGTAAACAACGTAAGAGTTTGATAGTTTATGTCTAACCCTGGGCTACAGTCAGCCCTGTAATAAGATACACTTATCTTATGCACCTTGCTGGGATTAGTCCGTTTACTATGCAAATGGAGTACCTTTCAGTACACTAAAGAATTGGTCAGTTCATGATCCTGCTGAGAAGACCATGCCTTGAAAATGACAAGGAAGGTTCCAGTAAGATGGTGGAATAGGCAGAAAGACTATACAGACCCTCTTCAACAAAGAAAAGGAGAACCAATTAACATAGATACAGAACATAATCCTGGACTCCTGAGCCTTGAAGGAAAGGATATAGAAATGGACTAAACTTCAACTAGAAGAATTTGCATGAACACACCAAAAAAGGAGACATACAGAGCTGCAGTCTGGCAGCAATCCTGATGGCACAGACAGCTTAGATGTTGCCAAGTGGTGGTGGGACCTAAGAATTAACCTAAAAATCAACCCTCCTAGCCAGGGACTGCACAGAGGACTGCTCTGGTGGCTGTGGAATAAAAGGGGAAGCAGAAAGAGGATGGCAGCCTGAGCTGTGGACTTTTGTCCTAGCCAGGGCCATAAAGCAAGAAAAGGAAATCAAAGGCATCCAAATTGGTAAGGACCTGTGGTCTGCAGATTTTGACAAAGGGCTGAAATCCATTAAATGGGGAAGAGAATGTTTCTTTAACAAATGGTGCTGGCAAAACTGGAGATCCATTTGCAGAAAAATGAAACAAGACCTGTACCTCACACCATACACAAAAACTAACTCCAGATGGATCAAAGACTTAAATGTGAAACCTAAAACTATACAGTTCCTCAAGGAAAAAGTAGAGGCAAATTTAGGGACCCTAATATATGGCATAAATAGACTATGAAGCATAACACAAAATGCGCAAACAGCAGAAGACCAACTAGATGAATGGGACCTTCTAAAACTCAAATTTTTAGTGCTTCCAAAGACTTTTCCAAAACAGTCAAAAGAGAACCTACAGATTGAGAAACAATATTTTCAACAAGACAGAAAATAACAAATGCTGGCGAGAATGTGGAGAAATTGAGACTTTCATACATTGCTGGTGGGACTGTAAAAATGGTACAACCACTGTGGAAAGCAGTATGGCAATTCCTTAAAAAGATGGAATTAGAAATACCATTTGACCCAGCCATTCCATTACTAGGTATATATCCCAAAGAAGTGAGAGCCATGACAAGAACAGACATATGTATATCCATGTTCATGGCAGCACTATTTACAATAGCCAAAAGATGGAAACAACCTAGATGTCCATCAACTGAGGAACTGATAAGGTAACTATGGTACATACACACAATGGAATACTATGCAACCCTAAAGAATAACCTAAAGTCTGCAAAACACCATATAATGTGGATGAACTTGGAGGACATTACACTGAGTGAAATAAGTCAATCACAGAAGGACAAATACTGTATTAGTCCATTATTGTAAAATTCAAGGAACGGTTTATCTATGAAAGGAAATTTTCTTTCTTGGTTACCAGGGGTTGGAGGGGAGAGGCAGGGAGGGAACAGATAGGTAGAGAAGAGTATTGATTTGGGTGAAGGGAAGGGAGATGTACCAAATGTGAGTGATCAACATGGTGGCACTGAGGAAGAGAAAGACATAGAGAGGTACATGGCAGGTACAGACAACAAAGATGAACCCTTTTGCACATGCAGTACTGTGTTGTCAGTGAAGGCAAACATGGATATAAGGGTGCAAAAATAGGTAGACAGACTGAACTACTAGATATGACTATGAAGTGGGCAGTGTACCCAAGACCATGGATAGGGTTGGTTGGCAGACAATGGTGCTATATGTGTATTTGTATGAATTCCTAGGTGTAGAGCTAACAAGGGACAAGGATATAGTCACTTCTTAGTCACAGACAGCTACCCAGAGGGACCGAGTAGTTGAACCTGTGGGCTCAGGACCATAGCCATAGGCGACATCAAGCTCAATTGGCATAACATACTACACAAAACACTGTTCCACCTCCTACTCTGGCAAGTGGCAACTGGGATCTTAAAAGCCTGAAAGCTGCCATCTAGATGCAATGATGGGTTTCTCCTCCTCCAGAGCAAAGAGGAATGAGGAAAACCGGAGATTCATGCAAACAGTTGGTTCAAGAGACTAGCAGACCATCCAATCTGCAGCCTATACGACTATGAGACCAGAAGAACTAGATGGTGCCTGGCTACAACTGTCATCCACTTGGAAGGGGATCTATGTAGGAGATCCAGGATAGAGAGGGAGAACAATGTGAAACAAAACTCAAATTCAGTTGGAGAGAAAAAAGGGGGGCGGGATCAGGTTTGCTGGCCCGATAGAGCCTGGTGGAACCACTGAGACGATGGCCCCTAGTTTCCCTTCAGGTCTGGAACTGAACCCACTCCTGTGGCTTCCAGCCCAACCAAAGACAGGCATATGAGTTGAACTTTTACCTGAGGCAGATACACTCCTTGGAGAGAACAATCATGGGAGAAAGAAGGGCTACTTATGCACAAGGAGACAGCTCCGGGAGCAGGAGTGCATGAAGGGATGGGCACAGGGAAGAGGTAACTATTGGGAGGAAGTGGGAGGGGAGCTGTTGCGTTGGGGTAAATTGTAGTTAATGTTATGAGAGGAAGTGTATGTGAACTGCTGTATGGAAAGTGAATATGCTCTCTAAATTTTCACCCAGATCACAATTGAGGGGGAAAAAATAAAATTATAAGGAGTCTGCTTATATAAGCCAGCCCCATAGAGGTTTAAGAGAGAAGATGACAAAAGCAGCAGAGAGGGAGGAGGTGAAGATCCTCCTAAAAGAGTTTATAGCATTGAAGACAGCAAGGAACCCAGAAAAGGTGCTACAGCAGAGCTGGCAACAATGGGCCTAAAAGGGGCCGTGTGGCAGAGTAGGCTAGGAAAACATTCAAGAGGGCTCAGCAAGCTGCTACACTGGCTATGAGCTGGCCTACCTTTGGCAGCATCAGGTGCCCCAGCTGTGTTGAGAGCAATATTTATAGTTAGCCAAGGTAAGAAATATTTCAAAATTTTAACAAATTATTATTAATTGGAGGTTCTATAAACTTCAAATGAGACATCAGAGGAAGGACACTACAATTAAATCCATTCAGTTCATAATACTAACTATTACTTAGGGAACAATCACCAAAGTGAAAAACAAAACTTCATTTATGCTCAAACATTCCTATTCTCTAGAACAACTGAAATTTTTTATAAATGCAATATGTGAAGGTTTTTGCAAGATCAAAAACACCAGCTAAGGGTCCTTACCTTTTCTAGCAGGGAGTTCTCCATTCAGTGTCAATTCTGTTCCAGTATACAGGATTTCTCCATCTTTAACCATCTCATTCCAAAGACCACAGAGTCCATCTTTTGTGAACGCCAACTAGCAATAATAAAGTTACAAAATAATCACATCCGTACTGCAATTCTTACAGAATGGTATCTTTAGTAACCTCATTTTTCCTCTTATTTATTCAATCACTCAACATTTAAAGAAAATCATTTAAGAAATATAGGTTAAGTAAAAAAGGCACAGTGAGGAATAGTGCATATACTATACTAACTTTTGTGTAAAATATATAAGAAAAAAGATACATTACAACTCACATACACACAAAGACTAAGCTAAAATGAATAGATAGCAATGCTACCTATGGGGATATGAAGAATAAAATAGGTGAAAGGCAGTAATGAAGAATGAAAGCAAGACATTGAGTATACCTTGTATGTTTCTGTCTCACAAACATACAAATAGTTCTCATCTTCAAAAATTAAATTTTAAAAAAACTACAACTGGAAACAGGCAAATTAACCTGTGTGTATTAAAGAAAAAAATATTTCAAGAGACTTTTGAATTTAGATCATTAGTGGACAAAAGTCTAAAATTTTTTCTAAAATTTTAAAAATTCTAAAAAAATTTCTTAAACTACTCATTAGTCTTACTGATAATCATATTGGTATTGCAATATTAAAACTAGTTTATGTTATATGAAAAAGCAAGTAAGTTAATATTAACAGAAACTAAGGTTTTAAGTATAAAAGTGATAAAATCAAAGAAATTTTCAAAAATATTTTGAACTACAAATATCAATATGAAATTTATTTTTTAATATATTTGCTTGTTCTGTCTTTGGAAATGACACAGAATCAATTACACTCAAATAGCAATGTGTACACCTAGAGCCCAGATTTGATTTCCAAGTACCATTTCCCCTAGAAGGAACCAGGGCTTTTTGAAGAAAAGGGAGATTCCAACTCTAAGGTAGACAGAAGAGCTTGGAATATCTTGTGCTTGCTCAAAAATAGATTCCTCAAAGACTAACAGGGATTCTTCGAGGTCAAATTTAGAACAATTTGAGGAACAAAGTGAGTAACAACTACAATGGACTACACAACTAAACAATAAGATCCATGAGCCCATAGTGATACTCAAAGGTAAAACAAAAACAAGAAAGCCCTTGATTGCCAATATTTGTAAGTCAGAGATCTCAGAGCAAGCAGTCAGCGCAGAGTGAAAAAGGGGAGCTGCAGACACCAAGAAAGGTATTCATCCTGAAAACTGCAGACATAATAGAAGACTTCCTTGCAGAGAAAAAAGATAACTGACTTCCGGTAAGATGGCAAAACAGGCAGACAAGCTGCACAGACCCTCAAAAAGAAAAGAGAAACCAATTGAAAGAGATACAGAAGATAATCCTGTAGCCCTAAGCTTTGCAATGAAGTATACAGAAGTGGATTGGGCACCAACTAGTGGGAAAACCTGAAGGAAAGCAGTGAGTAAGGAGATGGTCAGAGCAGTGAACTGTCAATTGACAGGATCGACAGCCTGAATATTTCCAAGTGGTGTTGGGATCTGAGAATTGCCCTAAAGATCAGCCCTGGTCACCAAGGGCTGCAGGGACAATTGCACTGGTGGCCTATGACTAGGAAGGGAAATAGCATGGAGGCAGACATCCTAAGCTGTGGACTTTCTGCTGCCCAGATGGTGCAGCCATTTTGATTGTTTACACAAGGTGGCCATTTTGGATATTTAAAATGACCAAGGGCACAGGCATTTTGAAGGCTTACAAGCGGAGGCCATTTTGAATGTTTACAAGTAGCGCCCATTTTCATATTTAAAGTGACCAAAGGTGTGGCCACTTTGGATTTTAAATTGAAAGCATTCTCATTTGGATTCCAGGGACCTAAGATTAGGCTCTGTTTGCCAAGGACAGCAGGGACATATGAGAGGGAGACAACAGAAAAGGGCAGATGGTGAGTGCTGCTGTGGTGTAGTAAATTACTTAGTGTGGCTTTCCTACCCATTAAGTCTTTGTAAACTCCAAGGTGGGATTTTCTATGAGCAACTGAGGAGCTCCTGATTGCTGAAGTTGTCCACCTGGAGTATTTCTGTTGGGAGTGGCACAAAACAATGTTCTGGGAGGTGCCCACTTTCTCTCAGGTGC